AGCGAAACAAACAATGTTAATGGTTTTATACGCTTGCTTCACTATTTTTTAAAGCATCTCCAGGAGTTTTTGTAAAGCTCATTCTCAGAATCATTATTTGAATAAGTCGTTTTTTATATCTTTCTGTTCTCCAACAGTTTTCTATATCTTATGTGTACTCTAGAGAGTCATATTTGATAGCCAAATAAAGAAGTTTTTGGAGGGTATTCTCATCAAAGTCTCTGTTCCTAGGAGTTAGGAAGGAAATAGAGAGTCTATGTAGTTGTTCTAGAAGGACCAAATAATCTATGCTAAGGTAAATTGATGCCTACTAAAAGTCTAAAGCGCAAAAAATATTAATATATAACTAGAGTTAACGTTATTTGTATCTCTAAATGAATTTATTAGAAAAATATATTTAACGGTTCGTCTAATAATACTAATTATAGACTATAAACTAAATATTTTTTATATATTTAGTTAAAACTAAAAGTGAATGGGACGAGGGAGTAGCTCATACCCGTATATGCTAACAGCTGAGACTGAAAGTAGTCGGGCCAAAGCCCATAAAGCATCGCGCATAGCTCACAGCTCCACGTGTCACGACTCACGAGTACCGGTAGCAATCCTTTTTCTAATCATTGCGATATGCTAGTTTATTTCTTATGTTGACAAAAAGAAAAAACAATAATGCAACAATAAATATTACTTTTACTCGGAAAAGAAAAAGGAAGAAAAATCCGTTTCTGTAATCGTGGCCCCCTTCTCCATCGATCGGTTTCCGTTTGCCCAGAGACCACAGTCCAGCCTAGATCGAGCGCGACCCTCCTCTCTCGATCCGACCCCGGCCGACGACCCCTAGCCGGCGGCGACCATGGCGTTCGCCGAGCGCGTCACCACCTTCGAGGACAGCGAGAAGGAGAGCGAGTACGGCTACGTCCGCAAGGTTTGCGTCCTCCTCTTCCGTCCCTGCTCCCTAGATCATTAGACTAGACCCTACCTCTCGGCTCGCGTGATGTCTTGCCAGGTTGGTTCTGGATCACGGAACCGTAGCGGCCTTGTCTGCGAATTTGAGTGTTGTCCCGATCATTGGAGCATCTGGGTGCGGGAATGTTCTGTCCGGTATTTGTCATGCAACTTTCCTGGGATTCTAGTGATGATATTTGGGTCAAATTGAATCCACGGGGAATTCGTTCTATTGGAAGGTTCTAATGGAGTTTGGACCGGGAGAGGTGCCGTCTCTTTTTGTGGATTATTACTGTTATGCTACTTAGAGTTGGCTGCTGCAGCTGTGTTCTTAGTTAACCTGCATATCGAGAAACTAGCATGGTCGTGTTGGGTTGGATTATGATTTATGAAATTTGCGGTAAAGTGTGTAGGTTACACAGCCTAGCAATTAAATTGGCGATTTAGTTAGTTTAGACAATATTTTGATCATTATTCTGACTCTCTCATGATGTATCTGTGTCTCCTTCTCTAGGTCTCTGGACCTGTCGTTGTGGCTGATGGAATGGGTGGTGCTGCCATGTATGAACTTGTTCGTGTTGGCCATGACAACCTCATCGGGGAAATTATTCGTCTTGAGGGTGACTCAGCTACAATTCAAGGTATTGTACAGTGCAGTCCCAATCCTCCTGTCCATGTTGATTATGTGGTCTGAAAAACACTAAAGAAGTTCACTCAATGAATTACACAACCGCGACAACTCTTTTGCAGTTTATGAGGAAACAGCTGGGCTGATGGTTAATGACCCAGTTTTGAGAACAAGAAAGGTATTGTTTGTGTTGATTTCTGCACGTAGTTGTGTAGGTTTCTTGTTTTTTCCTCTAAATGTGTCATGGCTATTTTTCATGCAGCCTCTCTCAGTTGAATTGGGGCCTGGCATTCTTGGGAACATTTTTGATGGAATTCAGGTACATAAATGTAACAAACACATAGTAGTATTAACTCGGGTACATCTTTCTGATGATATGGCCTCCTATCATCCCTTTGCAGCGCCCTCTAAAAACAATTGCAATTAAATCCGGGGACGTGTACATACCACGTGGTGTATCAGTCCCTGCCCTGGACAAAGATCAGCTGTGGGAATTTCAGCCGAAGAAGCTAGGTAATTTGTGTGTGAATAGTCTATAAAAGCTAAGCACGGTGTCTAAATACCTCGTTTCAAGTTTTATCCTGTACAGAAAGAGCACTAATTTTAGTCATTTCTTTCAGGTGTAGGAGATGCCATCACGGGTGGAGATCTTTATGCTGTGAGTACAGAGATATCAGTTTTCCTTTTTTAATTTACTATCTTGCTGAAGTTTTCTGATTATTCCGTCCATTGACACAGTGCCTAACATGCACAATCTAATACTGGCGACTATTTTGCAGACTGTATTTGAGAATACACTGATGCAACACCATGTTGCCCTTCCTCCTGGTTCTATGGGGAAAATAAGCTACATTGCCCCTGCTGGTCAGTACAGTTTGCAGGTTAGTATATATCATGCCTTTTCTGCTACATTTTCCTTTATTTTTGCTTAAATTTCCTTGATCAATTTTTCGCTGTTGTTGTTTCCTATAAATGCAGGATACAGTACTGGAACTAGAATTCCAGGGCATCAAAAAGCAATTTACTATGCTCCAGGTGAAGCGTTATCTCTTTTTTTTTAAGTCTTAATAAGTTAATATATTACCATAGTTTTAAATGTATTAATAATTATCATATTTGTGCTCTGCAGACATGGCCTGTGCGTTCACCAAGGCCTGTTTCATCAAAGCTTGCTGCTGACACACCTCTCTTAACAGGACAGGTATTGAAGCAATAAAGTAAAACTTTCCTGTCCAGCTCTATTGAGTCTTGGTATGTCTCACATGTTTTGTAATTGGTTTCAGCGTGTACTCGATGCATTGTTTCCCTCAGTGCTTGGAGGAACATGTGCTATTCCCGGAGCATTTGGGTGTGGAAAAACTGTCATTAGCCAAGCACTTTCAAAGGTCTTACTTCTATTTACTTTTTCCCCATAGCTGCCAGTGTTGTCCAATTCTGCATGCTGACTTTTAAAGTGCCTTAAGCCTACTCTTTTACTGACCCAAATTGCCTTATAAAACAGTATTCCAATTCAGAAGCTGTGGTTTACGTGGGCTGTGGGGAAAGAGGGAATGAGATGGCTGAGGTCCTTATGGACTTCCCACAATTGACAATGACATTGCCCGATGGACGTGAAGAGTCTGTCATGAAAAGAACAACTCTTGTAGCTAACACCTCCAACATGCCTGTCGCTGCTCGTGAAGCATCCATTTATACAGGTACACTTATGTGTTTGAGATTTTTGCCACTTATATAGGCATGAGTTCAGTCTCTAGATTGTTTTCTTGACCAGGTTGTATTGCATTTCTTGACCAGATCATAGTGCTTTTCTTGAACAGATTTTTTCCACTTACGTAGGCATGAGTTCTGTTGTAAGCTTATAACTTGCCGACTTGTGACCTATTATCTATCTGTGACTATGTCACACTGTTTATTTTTGTAAGTAATAATTTCTAGCACCATCTGGCACAGATGGGAACAACACAATGTTTGGAAAAGTAAATGAACTTAACACATGCAGATATAAGCATCTGCTGATAACTTGATATATCCCCAACTGTTCTTGTTGCTGTTCAGTTTATGTTCAGAACTT